AGAAAAAAATGGTAGATACTTGCCTGCGAGATTCGAACACCGGTGCATCACTACACACGAATGCACCGGACGTCTTATCCTTTAGGCCACGATGACTTATAATAACTTAACAGATTACTATATAACTATTGAGTATTTACTAAGTGCCTGCTGCAAAGGCTATTAATTAGCAGTCCCTCGAACTTGCTCGATACGATACATTACAATTATACAATACATTTCTTTCTGAGATTTCGTCTCATGTCACAAGGTGGCAGCATTTTGGTTATGATGTGTATGTGCTCCGGAAACACCTTGAACCAGAAAGGTCGCGGTTACGTTCATCTAGCCGATAAATAATTGACCACTACGAATTTTCATCGAATATTTAATCAAACCGATAGGCTTGGGGAATCATGACTTGCCTTATAAGATCAAGGCTGAACCGGCAGAGCATTTAAGGGATGAGGGCAGCCCCATCAACCTCAAGCAACTGCTTTCCTGTGTAGAAAAGGACTTTCCATCCTATCTATTCTGGTAACCTCGAGGGGTCATGCTAGATTCACCGAATAAAAATATTTAATGATGCTTATTTCTCGCTTTATACGGGTATGTATTAAGCTAGAACAAATAATTTTGGACACGTCTATCGTACGTTGGATGATAAAATCGTATTAAGCTTTACATTGCCATAATATCTCTAAGGTACCTCGGTCAGTTCGCCATTGTTTTCGTGGAACTTATTTTAATTTTTTTAACGACATCGAGTGAAATTGATGTAATGAGTTGTAATTGAAGTTACTGCATACTTACGTCTTAATAGTAATTTTATTAGTGCCAAAGTTTCGATTACTTTACAGTTTTCGTGGTCAGCACATACGACATATGCATAAACATGCTCTCAGTCGACATTTCAATATCACGCTAACTACCTTCTGATTTTCAATAATAATAATAATAATTTATTGATATCTACAATTCTTTTCACATTAAGAGAACTAAGTGTATAATATTACGGTCTACTTGATATAATTATATTTATAATTGAATTATAAACGCGAAACAAAATCGTAAATGTAATTCTAATTATGTTTACGGCTAGCGAAATACGGAGATGTAGTATTAGTAGTAGTACCTAGTAGTAGTAGAAATTTGATGGAGTTTTGTCGAGAGGGCATTTTACCTACGTATATAGCGTAAGGCTTGTTCCATTTGTAGGTACGTGCTTAAAAACAAAAATGCTATGCTGTAATTTCTTTAACACACGGCTGAATCGATTCGGTAATTTTATTTAAAATTGCCTTAAATCGCGCGAATAAGGTATTTAATTCATCATCATTCATCATTCTTTCCTATTACCCTCTGCTGGGGTGTAGGGCTCGAATAAAATTTTTCCATTTATATCGGTCTTGGGCAGTCTGTTCTAGCTTCTACCACGTCATGCCCAAGACCCCTAGCTCCTGCTCCACCGAGCGAAACCAAGTTGTTCTGGGGCGGCCTCTCTTCCTTTTACCAGACACTTTCCAGGTCAGTGCTCTCTTTGATAGGTGGGTATCGGGCTTTCTCAAAGTGTGACCAATCCAATGCCACTTCCGCGTAAGGATCTCCTTCTCCATTGGTGTCTGCTTAGTGATAAGGTATTTAATTAATTAAGGTATTTAATTATTTCTTTTTCTCGATCTGCCGCAAAGTCCACGTCTCCGCAGCGTATCCCGTCTACTCGGATCAAATGATGAAACAGACTTACATAGATTTCCCGTCTACATTTCCGTAGATGCATTCACGCATGACGCCGGTCAATCGTCGCAGAACTATTTCCGTAGTGCAAAGACACCGACGGTGAATGTTTTAAAGATAAACAACTGTTTTAATGTGTCGTTTCCAGGGTGATGTAATAGGCGCGTTTGTTTGATCTTAAAGAGCCGATACGTTGCTGCGTTTAGTTGTGGGTCGTGTAAAATATTTTATATCTGTTTAACAAATTCATTTCACACTCGAGCCCGGGATGTATTTGTGAAATATCGCACGTACGGTGCTATAAAGTCACTTACTGGTTGGTAGGACCTCTTGTGAGTCCGCGCGGGTGGGTACCACCACCCTGCCTATTTCTGCCGTGAAGCGGTAATGCGTTTCGGTTTGAAGGGTGGGGCAGCCGTTGTAACTTACTTGAGACCTTAGAACTTATATCTCAAGGTGGGTGGCGCATTTACGTTGTGGATGTCTATGGGCTCCAGTAACCGCTTAACACCAGGTGGGCTGTGAGCTCGTTCACCCATATAAGCAATAAAAAAAAACATAAAAAAAACTTATTCAATTTTTGTTAACACTGAACTGAGCATGAGAGAATACATTTTTTAGTATTTAGTTATACCTAATGAGACGAGAGAGATGTTTGCTTTTGCTGATGAAGGGTGTTAGTTTAAATATTATAATTTTATTTCTATAGCCTAGCAAAACTTTATAAGAATTATATAAGAAGGTAGGCCTTGAAGGCATTGGAGAAGGCCTATGTCCAGCAGTGGGCAGATAAAGGCTGATGATGATGATGATGATGATGATGATATAAGAAGGTGTTGAATTTTCCGTTTTTCCTTAAAAATTGCATAATTTTCATAAGTGACGTTATCGCACCGTATGTGCGTGCGATATTTTGTAGTTTTGTTCTTGGATAGAAAATACATTTGCAAAATTGTAAAACAATTGCGTATTCATCTCTAAGAAGCAATGACGTCGACGTTGCGGTGACTAATTAACGTCAACTCGTCAGCCATATTCGCCCATAAAAGAATTGGTGAACATTTGAAAGATCGACCCGCTTACAACACCACAGCCATACAATGTAACTCACTAATTTAATATTAAGCTTTACCATTTGTGTGTTTTGATGTTTCTCATTAGAGCATTTTCTATTAAAGCTAGGTATGTAGTAAGCCTGTATTTATTTCTATTACTAAAGCAGGCATATCTTGGAGTTCTACCGCTGAATACTTCAGAAAAGGAAACTAATTGAACTTGAATAATTTATATGTATTATCGTTTTGAACCAATGTTTCTACTAAGCACTAAATCAATGGATTTTGAACAAAAAATCCTAAAGTTTATATAACATTTTTATATGGTAAACAGCATCTGTACGTGTGTTCGTCACTGAACTCCTAAAAAGCAGTTTCATGAGTTCTCGTGTGTGTTTAAGTGGGTTCCTGCTATAATAAGATTCTAGGCTTTATTGAAGTGAAACTTCTTTAGAATCGTTGTGATTTCAAACTCGATGAAACGAAAAAATAAGTCCATAGAGACACAAACACATAAATGTATAGGATTCAGCCGGCGAGAGAATGAGATAGAACACATTAGACTCTCGGTCTCCTCTTTGTGCGACTCTTCGTAGCATCCCCACTATCGTCTACTAAACATTGTCCATATGTATGCCCCAGAACGGGGAGAATGCTAGTGGAGTGAAGGCGACGGTGTTAGTTTGTAGAACCGATCGGTACCTTGGTGCCGTGAAGTTCATGCTTCGGTCCTAATAACCGCAAGGTTGGTGGGACCATGGGAGGTGGTGGGAATGTCCATATGTATGCTCCTGTGCAGTGGGATAGTCAGTATATCTATATCTTATTTATAAGTGTCACTTCTACCGTGTGGGACTTGCACACACACACACACACACTTTTTTTTTAAAGACTTGCAGATTTCTTGATGTGTTAGATTTACAATTGCAAACCGATCGAGATTTAAATTTTTCCCGGCAAGAAAACATTTTTCGAGCCCGTTTCGCAAATTGTAACAATTAGAGTTTAATTCTCCTAATGAGTTTGCTACAAAAACGATTATTAAACCTTCGCAGTTCGCACTGCAGCGTTTTACAGCAAAACTTTGTCTACAGAGTTGCTTGACGTTGAATATATGCAAACTCAATTCCTCAAGTAATAACCAAGTTTTAGCTCTGTTCAAGTTTATTGCGCTTTAGCTGTGATAGAGCATCTAAGTTCGCCCGAGATAGCTTAAACAATAGTTGTCACGAACTTTCACTGCACTGTTCCATTTTCGGTCATTAATTTTATTTGTTTTAAAACTGTTGTTTTAATTGTTGATTGCTATAAATGCATTAATGTTGAATTTTTTTCTCTCTTAATTGCCTAGGTTGGTGAACGAGCTTACAGCCCACCTGGTGTTAAGTGGTTACAGAAGCCCATATTCATCTACAATGTAACATTGTACATCTGCCTATTTCTGCCGTGAAGCAGTAATGCGTTTCGGTTTGAAGGGTGGGGCAGCCGTTGTATCTATACTGAGACCTTAGAACTTATATCTCAAGGTGTGTGGCGCATTTAAGTTGTAGATGTCTATGGGTTCCAGTAACCACTTAACACCAGGTGGGCTGTGAGCTCATCCACATACCAAGGCAATAAAAAATAATAAAAAAGAGCCACCTCGTTCCTTACGAGTCCCCAGGATGGTAGTGATATAGAGTTATTTGTGTCCTAGCTGACCCGGCAGACTTCGTAGTGCCTCAATCGATAAATAAAAGACACGACACAGGAGATACAAGCGACACCGGAATATGTCCGTACATTTGTCGCCTTGCTTCAGGAACGTGGAGATTGGTGATATTGTAACGATCGGCGAATGCAGACCTTTGTCCAAAACAGTTAGATTCAACGTTTTGAAAGTTTCAAAGGGCAAGGGCTCGAAGAAGTCTCAAAAAATATTAAAAAACTTATGTCTTAAGTAAAAAAAAAAATTGTATAAAATAAACTGAAAACAAACAAAAGGAATCCGTTCGCCGGGGGGGGGGGACTTCAAAGGAAAAACAAAATTGTTATTTTTATTTAATTCCGAGTATTACCTTTTAAACCTTCTCTGGACTTCCACAAATAATTCAAGACCAAAATTAGCCAAATCCTTCCAGCCGTTCTCGAGTTTTAGCGAGACTAACGAACAGCAATTCATTTATATATTTTTTTATAGATTTCTTTATAATTAACTAACATTATATTAAAATAATATTTTTATTACAGATGCCTCATACAAAAGCTCTTGGTCAACACACGCTACGTCACAGGGTTCTCAAGGTAAAAAAAAAACATTTTATTTTTTCATTTATGTCTAAAAGAAATGTCGAGTATGAAACCATTCCTAAAAACACTTTGAATGATACAAGACAAAAAAAAATCGCCCGGTTGAACTATGATTACTGAAGTAAATATAATAATACAGTAAATAATAGTCTCGATATCTATTTTCCACAAAAATTTACATTGTTTTTTGACTATTCTTATTTCGTATGTAATTAATACACGTGTATGTATACTATGTATATGTAACGCAATTTAAATCCAACTCACACTTTGAGTCAACTGTGTTACGCGCTAGATAGAGTCTATCTTCTTCTATCTTATTCTTATTCTATCTATCTAGTCTTCCTTCACTTATATATATATACTTCGCTTTAAAAATTAATAAAGCACATTAATTTTTCACTTTCGGTCCAAAATGTTCTCTAATAAAAAAATTAAAAAAAAATATATTAAAATATGCATTCAATAAAACTATTTACTAAATACTCGTTGCGTCTCAAAGCTGACTTTACTATTAGACACACACATCTCAACGACTACACGCGTAAACCAGCAAGTTAGATATCATGGGTTACGAAAAAAAAAAAACATAAAACTCAGTGACGTCACAGCATTCTACACGCGAAAATCAAAACAATAGGGCCGCTAAAATGACGCACGCATTCAGTCGAGCGGGAGGCGCGCGACTCGCACGCGACTTGCTCGCTCGACAATACGCAACTTAATTTCTTGATTGACACTTACAATATTTCGATAAGTGATGCAATATTTTGATGATTATCCGAAAGAGACGGGTGTTATCGTATCGCACGCTTCACTCGTCCCGCGCCGTACTTATAGGGGTTTTCATTCCGAAAATTAAATGTATTTATTATTCGCGTGCCGAACTCGCTCTAACGTCGGAATGCTTTATCGCAATATCGGGTTGGAATTAAAAATGATTACCGAAAAGTGTGATGTCGTTTTTTTTTTTAAATATTTTCGTGTCTGTCTGTTTGGTCAAATTTAAGCGTCGATTGTCGGTTTTTTGTCATTTAAATTTTGTTTTAAGTTAAACAATAATAGCAGAAAGAACAAATTCAATTTTTTTTTTCTTATTGTAAATTATTAGATTAAGTATAGTATATAACCTCTTATAGCGAAGATGAAAAGCCAAGTCAAACAAGCTGCAAGACCTTCAGATACTATTAGTTCGTTCTGTGTGAAATGAAACGTAAAGTCTAGACATATCCTTAAGGAATAGACGGTAATTAGCACAATTTTCGAATTTCGACGAATAACACCTAGCTCTAAGCTGAATTAAATTCGAAACGTCGGGAATAATATAATAATGAAAACCCAATAAAATACAATAATATAATGAAACTAGACTAGTACATATTTCAATAATACCATGTAATGGTCTTAGAATTCAAGTATAAATTACATCCTTATAATATTGTATAATTTGACCAAAAGCAACCACAGTCAGTATTAATCAGTATTTTAGTTATTTTAATGTTAAGTACAAATATCATGAAGACGAAGACCTAAACACGTCATCACGGATCCTCCCAATCCATTAACGGTGCTTTTAGGCACCTCAGACACCGGTCACCGTCCTCGCCGAACCCGTCGCTTGCAACGAAGGGCTCGACGAGAAAACTAACCCATAGACACAGCCCACTGAGTTCCTCGCCGGATCTTCTCAGTGGGTCGCGTTTCCGATTCGGTTGTAGATTCTGCGAAGCACTGCTCTTGCTAGGGCCAGTGTTAGCAACACTCTCGGCTTGAGCGCCGTGAGCTCACCCACTCGCCCGGTCACGCTGACATAGCCTCTCAAAGCTATCAGCTTAGGTAGGAAAAGAAATATGAAGACGAATTAAAAAAATAATTACAATTTACATTCGCCCCATACAGAATCGTTTGAATTAAAATTTGATGATGTTTTAATAATAAATATAAATATGTTAGCAGCCGTGCCCCTGGCCGCACCGCGTCGATCCGTGACGACTTGTGCTCCCGAACAATCGTTATGAACGATTTAGTCGCCGCTCCCAGGGGAACCATTAGACGGACCCTAATTCTGAATGCGCTCGACATTTTAAATCTCCTTAACGGTTATGTCGTAGGGTGCAACCTCTGTGACAGAACATAAGACCTACAACGACTAGACATTTGACAAGAATTCAAAAATAAAGAGAGAAATGAAACGAGGGCGTCCGTGACTAGCGGCAGACAGTACATTTTCTGACTTCCTTAAAGACAGACACAAACAAGACGACAAGGAACGAATTGACCGTTCTCATATGAGACGACAATAGAACAATCGACCGTTCAAGTGGTCTTCCGACCGTTCAGGTTACGATTTATCAACTGACTCGGTTGTGCAGTACCGCCCCTGACTGCTGGGCCGAGGGTCGTGGGTTCGATTCTCATTTCGGACAAACGATTCGTCTGATGAAGAGGTTTATCTGCTCCTCATCTAAGTGTTTATTATCTACATTTGTATTTGTTTAAATTTATATAAGTATGTATGGTATCGATCTCTGCTTCCCATGGTACAAGGGATCTTAGCTTGGTTTAGATGATCGTATGTGACTTATTATCATTATTATTTTTGACATATTTATTAATATCTTAATTAATACAGGTTTTTTTAAATATAGTACACAACACACTAGTGGCGGTTTCTACAAAGACAAGCTACCACCGCCAAAAAATAAATTTAATGTTTTTACTATCATAAATCACTAACTATAAATATACTATAAATATTTAACAAGAGCTATTGAAAATGTTAGCACGACACATTCAGTTTTTTATCTGACATATTGCTCAGAAAAATTCTACGTACCTATGACCTACGTATGTCTATATAAAGCCGTGCAAGGCCACTTTAGTGTGTGATTGTTTATTTTCAATTCATTTTTAATACAGCACTTAAATATTAATATACACTTTCTTTTTGTCTGAATAAAACATGTAAAATACCTTGCACTGGACGTCTCAATCTAAGAAAATAATAATAAGCCTTGACATATAAGAACAAATAGCATTCAGGAACTAGTTATTTATTTCAAAAATAAATAGTGACAATCATATTTCAGTCGTGATTATAGTCTCGTAATAAATACGTACTTACGTTCGACAATTTATCGACGTTTTTAAAATACGCCGCTTCGACCCCTGCCGCCAACAAATGAACTTTAAATAACCGACGCACGGCTGCCATAAGCTAAACGTTATTCATTAGCAGAGATTCGTGAGACACGCCTCGTTATTAACTAACAATAATCAAACGAAATCTAACATTAAAAATATAAATGAAATATTAATTATCGAAACAGAACGAAACACAAATTACGTAATTTTTTTTTTGTGAATTATATTATTTATACTCTGATAATACATAGCGACCGTTCGTGGATGTTTAGTGCGTTTTTTTGTTCATAAGTATTTTTTATTGGTTAGACGGGTGAACGAGCTTACGACCCATCTGGTATTAAATGGTTACCGAAGCCCATATAATCCCACTAAGTTTCTCGCCGGATCTTCTCAGTGGGTTGCGATTCCGATCCGGTAGTAAATTCTGAGAAGCACTGCTCTTGCTAGGGCTAGTGGCGTAGCTGGAATACCCTTTTAGCCTACCAGCGAATAGTTAGGGAAATAAAAGAGCCGATAGACATTGATAATACAAATGCAAACCTTAAAACATGAGATCTAAGTCTCCGTTTTATAGAACAACGGCTGTCCCTACAATCCACCATGTAAGAACTAGGCGAGTTGTCGGCCGAAATAGATCGGGCGGTGGTACCTGAAACGCCCTACGATCATTGAAATCATTCGTCAGCATGTGTTAAGTACGTAGGTACATCTTACTAGAAATTGGTACCCGCCCGCGAGATTCTGACTCCGGCACAGTCGTGTAGCTCGATACGAGTACAGCGGGCGTTTTATCCTTTATGACCCGACCACTTTCAAATCGGTGCTCGACCAAGTAGTACCCAATAGCGCCGGTGAAAGATGCTTCAAATTGGGTTGTAAAAAAATACTTAGAAAACGGAAACTTCATGAATTTAGTGCCATCAGTGCAAACGCGTCGAGTTCAACTTTACGATACTCGACCGGCGCAACGGGCCGACGCCTGCCTGAATTGTTGCGTCACTTGTGGTGAAAAATAAATTATTAACAATAATCATACGTCCGTAATAGTAGCTAATACCTGAAGATCCAGCGTTAGCTACGACAGCAACTTGTTTATTAAATTCACTTAACTTAATGCTACCTTTTTTTTCTATTCTATTTAATCGTTGGTAGGCTAAGGGGCTTTTTCGACTGGGTGGCGTCGCGTGTCTGGTTGTAGTGTTGACCGCGGAAATCCCCCTACTCTGACCGGGTTCTGACCCTGGACGGAGATCAACGTCGGGTGTAAGAGTGCAGGGGAGCCGTTTAGTGCGGTCGGGCTCTAAAATGCCTTGGGCCCACATTCTGCTCTCAACACATGCAGATCATCAAGTCTCACATACCCTGCGCGCCCCACAGGTGCGGGGACCTCATAGGAGGCTCGGTCCCCGGCCCGAAAAAAAAGGGGGGCTGTTTCGATTAAACGCGAACAGGTAGACCAGCTCACGAGACTCATCGTGATATGATGATGCCTCAGTGGGTTGTGTCTATAAGTAATGTCAACTACAGCTTCTAAGCTTTTAATTTCTAAAATCAAGATGTTCACTGTCAACAGTTGCAAACGTAGGTCACCATTGAAATTGGTCAATTGTTCTACCCCAATGCTACTTCGGGATAACGCTGAATCGTACATAGCACAACAGATGGTCGCTAAATTAGAGGAATTACGATTGGAAACTCGATCGCCCGTCGTACTCTTTCGGCTATACTTAAGCTGATTTCCATTATTTTTTTGGCCTATTTAGACATCTTATTAGACAAAAGAATCTCAGATGAGGCAGTTAACGCGGTATCCTTTGTAACGGATTCAGCGGAATATCTTTATCGAAAATAGAAAGAGAGAAAAAATCTTTTCGGAACCTATCGAGAAAATAAGTTCGAAGCCAAAGAATATTCATAAACACACGCACACAATGAAACGAAAATTTTCATTTAAAAAATTCACCGTATCCAATGTTTCTGCTCTCTCCTTTCTTCGCTTCAGAGCACACAAAACAATAGGGTGCCTACGGTTCCCTCACAACGCCTGAAGCGCTTAACCGTCCTGCTCGCTCCGCTTGTCTGGGCAATTAGTGTGAGGAGAGGAGACGATGGCGACAAGAGCCACTTTCAGCTAATTTCCAACGCCCATACACCATTCGTCCCATTTTATCCCGAGTCCCGACGCGCCTCGAAAATATTGTTTTATGCTTTTATTTCACAACAGTCTGTCGGTTTCCATTTATGTAATTTAGCGGCTTTTCGGGATATGGATTTTTATAAACAAAATCTATTAGAATGTAAAGAATATCTCTTAATTAAAACCTACATTAATGAATACCTATAACGCTCGGCTCGAGAAACATCTAACATAATAATAATCTTGTCGATCGTCGATAAAAAGTTAGCATTGATTGATTGATAGAAGCAATTTCTTTAGAAAATATGCTATGTAGAGTACTTTAAATATATCAAACGTAAATTTTTCATAAAATATCAATTGGAAATTTTGCAATATGATTTGTGTGCGATTTCATTTCAAGAAAAATGGAAGTTTGTCTCTATGTCTATCATTTTATGTTACTACTCGGGATCATACAAACAACAAATCGAACATTTATTAAAAACAACACATTGTATATGAAAGTGAACATCAAATTACAACGAACGTTAATATTACTTCTAATTATAGGCAATCATTAAGATAAAATAAAATACGTAATACCGGATTTTCTTTAATGCTCTTTGCAAGTTAAAATATCGCTATATTAAAAAACAAACAAAATTCTGTAACTAAAAATTTTACCTCCCTAAAATTAGAATTAATGGAAAAACCTAGAAGGTTTTCTTTTGATGGCCGTACAAATATTTAATATCAATTATCGTAGCTTAATTAACACTGCTATTTCACAACACAAAACGACCAACGATAATTTTGAGCATTTGTCGGGCAAATCGGGTATTGTAGCCCCCCTAAGGCTATCCGACTAAAATAATCAAAACCAACCGTATTTGTTTACGAATAAGATGTATATTCAAACGGTAATATAATATAGAGGATTATAGGTCTACCTTTGATGCTCAGAAATGGATTTCACGCGTGCTTAATGCTGGAACAATTTTAAAGACCCTTTGATTTTGGGTGTCTTTTTGATTTCATGTTTCACGGTTTTTGCTTCCATACTGGGGGTCGTAGAATTTCGTAGTGCTATTTTAAAGCTTAGAGTGCATTTCAAATGCGTATTTATACAAATATTTTTTACGTAGATGTAACATGTATAGCCTTAGAATACTTACCCATAGACACAGCCCACTGAGTTTCTCGCCGGATCTTCTCAGTGGGTCGCGTTTCCGATCCGGTGGTAGATTCTGCGAAGCACTACTCTTGCTAGGGTCAGTGTTAACAAACACTCCGGTTTGAGCCCCGTGAGCTCACTTAGGGCGTTAGGGCGAAGGTGATATAGCCTCGCAAGGCTATCAGCACAGGTAGGAAAAAAAAACGACATTTACTTGCTTATTAACTTCACTTAACTTATATTACTATAGTACTATAGTACGGGTGTAGATAGCTATATACATGCAGCGAAGCAAGGGGCCAAATTCGTGCCCTAGATACGTCTGAACAAATTTGATTTACTCTCAGCGCTGGATTCTACTGGTAACAGCATCCAAAGCACTAGTTATGGCATTCGCGAAGCAGCTGCCTTTGAGCTGTTAGATCTCCTTCGGAAGCGTTCGGACAGCTATTAGCAAATCCCACCTTTCTCGGTTATGCCCGTGCTCTGCCCCTTGTCCTTATGCAGCTGGAGGACCCTCTGATACCAGCAATCATTCCATTCCAAGTAAATAAAATTGCGTTAGCTTTGTGATGTGTGAGAGAGGTATTGCACACAGTGCATTCCAAAAAAAAAAAACACCCGCAAAAAAGGACGATCTTGTAGGTACAGAAAATAGTCGAATCGATGTTATCCATGGAACACTACTCGGGTCCCGCGATCAATCATCCGTAACGGGATCTTAACACAAACAGGCGGCGCTCCGTGTAAAAGCACTATTACTTCCTCTATTTCGACGTGCTCAACTATTCACGAACGAAATGTCTTCGATCTTCTGTTGCTTATATTTTACACGATGCGTATTAATAATTGAGCCCAAAACCTATCTGATTTTAAGTGGCTGTAGACATATAGACATAGGACAACCGGATTGTCGCCGGCGTATTGAAATTCACAGCCGAAATCGATCATTGAAATAAATATTGGTGGTCAGTTGGTGTTTCAAGAAGGTCAAAATGTTTTAAGAAGCATCTCGTAAAAATGAAAAAAATGTTTTATTTAGCTCTTAACTTTCTTGTTAAATATTTCATTTATTTTATTTAATTGTATTTAATTTTCAAATTTCACAGGATATGGCACGAATTCTTTGTCTGCTATGTCAAAGTCGACACTCGACGCGCACACACACCTCAGACAGCCAGGTAAGTGATAAATTAACTTTACTTCATACATTCTACGATTATTTAAATCAAAATCAAAAAAATAATAATCAAAATCAAATCATACTTTCCAAATGTTGGAAATAAAATTATTGACACTATATAGGCAGGAGTATTTTAAAGTTCTTGAAAATCGGGAAGGTAATCTTGTATAGAGAACAGAAGGTGTTTATCTATATATTAATACCATATTAATACGTGAAGCAAAAACTTTATATCCCTTTTTACGTAAATTGCGCGGACGGAGGAGTATGAATTTTTCCACACTTATAGAGAATATAGAGAAGAAGTGCACAATGCTAATATTTTTTTAAATAATGCATAAAAGATACATTAAATCAATAAAGAAAACATTACACACGCTACATACCATGTATTTGACGCACACACGCATGAATACTATTTATTGTCAAACTTTTGTTCTTGACGTTTGTGGTCAAATTGAGAATAGTTTAAATATTGTTTGTCTATATTAATATTTTTTTATAGTGTAGCCTTGGCGAAATTTGTGATTATAGAAATATAAAATACAATCATAATAGTGTACAAACTTACAATTCCAATTAATTATAGTCGAATTTCGACTACTGCGGGACAACTAGTAACTAATTTACACGAAAGCAAAACGATACAACTACAAACAAATACACTGATCAAATGATCAAATGAGAAACAGTTGAATATCAAAGGTATTAAATGTTTTGATTTTAGAACAATTTTTAATGAATTTTCTAACGACAATCTTTATGGTTGTTGAATTGTTACAACAAAATATGTGTTCTGTATGTATTCTTTTTCAACAAAACGAATATGATTAATGTTGAACTTGTGTACAATAAACCGTTTTTTTTGCTCATTTATGAAGTCAGTCACGTACCAACAATGGATTTGTAGAGGGTCCTCATCAAACGATCCTCAAATTAGTGTGGCGACTACACTGATTGGTATTAAGTGAGGCGACTAAGAGCTTTACCGACATATTTATTTACTGGAGGTAGGACGTCTTGTGAGTCCGCACGGGTAGGCACCACCACCCTGCCTATTTCTGCCGTGAAGCAGTAATGCGTTTCGGTTTGAAAGGGCAGCCGTTGTAACCATACTGAGACCTTAGAACTTATGTCTCAAGGTGGGTGGCGTATTTACGTTGTAGATGTCTATGGGCTCCAGTAACCACTTAACACCAGGTGGGCTGTGAGCTCGTCCAACCATCTAAGCAATAAAAAAAAAAAGAAAAATATTTTCTATATTAAGCACAGTAATTATAAGTTAATAATTTAAGTTTTTTTTTTTTTTTTTATTGCCTTTGTAGGCAGACGATCATACGGCCCACCTGATGGTAAGTGGTCACCGTCGCTCATGGACGTCAGCAATGCCAGGGGCAGAGCCAAGTCGCTGCCTACCATAAAGTACTCTCCGCAAGCCTCGTTTGAAGAAGGACATGTCATAGCGCTCGGAAAACACCGTGGAGGGGAGTTCATTCCAAAGCCGGATGGTACGTGGCAAAAAAGATCTTTGGAAACGCACTGTCGATGAACGCAGCGGTTCCAGATAATATGGATGAACTCTGCTCCGATGGCGGGAGGTGCGATGATAAAAAGGAGATGAGGGAATCATCTCGAATAATTCCTCAGAGCATTCCCCATGGACCATGCGGTATAAAACACAGAGAGAACCGAAGTCCCTCCGTAGACCCAGAGGTTCCAAGCGATCCGCGAGAGCAGGACTATCGACCATCCGAACAGCCCGTTTCTGTATGGAGTCAAATGGAAGTAGCTGGTATTTGGGAGCCCCGGCCCAGAGGTGAGAGCAGTACTCCACGCGAGGTCGGACCTGCGCTTTATAAAGCGCAAGTCTCTGTCCAGGCGTGAAATACCGCTTCGCTCTGTTGAGAACTCCCAACATTTTAGAGGCCAATTTGGCTTTACCTTCCAAATGACTCCGAAACTGGACATCGCTCGAAATATCGACCCCCAGAATCCCGATACTCGCGGAAAGCTGCAGGGATACTCCTTGAAATTCCGGCGCCATGACAAAAGGGTCCTTCTTCGCAGTGAACGCGCAAACCTGTGTCTTCAATGGGTTGAACTGAACTGAATTCAGTTCACCCCACTTGGAGACCCGCCCCAGAGAGTTCTCCACTTCAGACACAAGTTTTAATCGCCTCTCGTGTACAACGCTTCGAGAGAGACTCTGATGGCCGATATATCGCGCATCCCCCGTGCTGTCATCCGCATAGCAATGCATGCCATCAATAGATAGCATGTCATTGATATGCAGTATGAAAAGCGTGGGGGAGAGCACCGAACCTTGTGGAACACCAGCGTTGATGGTCATGGTATCGGAGCAGCAGCCGTCGACGACAACTGCGATGCTCCGTCCATCCAAAAAGCTAGCGATCCACTTGCAGAGTCCCTCAGGGATCCCGTATGCTGGAAGCTTCGATAGAAGTGCCCTATGCCAGACCCTGTCGAAGGCCTTCGCGATGTCAAGGCTCACAGCGAGAGCCTCGCCCTTGCTTTCCAAGGCTTCAGCCCATTTATGTGTGAGGTATACAAGAAGATCGCCAGCTGAGCGACCATGACGGAAACCGTACTGCCGGTCACTGATCAGCTGGCGATCCTCAAGATACTTAAGAAGTTGGATGTTTATGATTCGCTCCATCACCTTGGAAAGCAAGGAAGTTATCGCGATAGGTCTGTAATTCGAGGGGTCCGACCGGTCACCCTTCTTGGGGATAGGGTGGACATGAGCAGTCTTCCATGAAGACGGAACCCTGTTGGTATTGTACGAGAGGCGATATAGACGCGTTAGCGCGGGTGTCAATTCAGGGGCGCATGTTTTTAGAACCACTGCGGGGATGCAATCTGGCCCACTCGACTTATGGACATCAAGAAGCCGAAGCTCCTGCCTGACCGCACGCTGTGTGATGCGAATCTCAGGCATGGAGCTGTCACACCGGGAGATGTTGGGCGGCGTGGCTCCTCCGTCATCCAAAGTCGAGTATGAGGCAAAGAGCTTGACCAGAAGGTCAGCCTTCTCCTTCGCACTATGAGCCAGACTGTCATTGGACTTACGCAGTGGTGGAAGGCTAGACCTGCAGAAGTTACCTTCTGCAGCCTTAGCTAGCGACCAGAAAGCACGGCTCCCAGAGGGATAGCTATTCAGTCGCTCGCCAATTCTGGCAACGTGCTCCGACTTCGCCTTGGCAATAGCCCTCTTATAGGACCTAGAGGCGGCGTTAAATTTCCGCCTTTTCTCCGAGATATCAGGATCCCGGCATCTCCTAGCAACATTAAATGCCACGTATGCAGACCGCTTGAGGCGTGCAGCATCCCTACTGGCTTTATTATACCAGGGTTTGCTGCGACCCCCAACGGGCACCTCAGAAGAAGGAATGAATAATTCCATTCCCTGAAGCACCACGTCTTTAAGTCGGTCCGCACAGACGTCAGGATCATCGGAGGAAAAGCAGAGCCGCCCCCATGGGTAGGATGCGTAAAATTCACGCATTCCATCCCAGTCTGCTGACCTGTACCGCCAAACTCTTCGAAACCCGGTCGTCGTTCGACGACTAGGACGAGAGAGTGGTATGGCAGCACGGATAAGGCAGTGATCAGACGATCCAAGTGGAGCGTCGACCACCACACTGTATCCAGCTGGGTGAGTGGTCAGCAGAAGGTCCAACAAAGAAGGCTCGTGCCCCTCAATGTCTGGGACACGGGTGGGCTGTGTCACCAGTTGTGAGAGGCCGTAGGACAAGGCGAAATCGTAGGCAGCCCGACCCGGGAGGTCAGTGGTTCTGGACCCCAACCACTCCTGGTGATGAGCGTTAAAGTCACCAAGGACCACCACCTCCGCAGATGGGTACTGCTCAAGCACGCGGTCAGTCCCCTCTTGTACATGCTCAAACAGAGCTGACCCCGCATCACTGCTGTGAGACCTGTACAGGCAAGCGTAGACTCTGGTACAGCCCCCATAGTCCACGCGTAGCCACAAGAGGGACAGGTCCCGTTGCTCGAGGCCCCGAAGCCGACGACAGCAGACATCCTCCCGGATAAACACGCACACCCCGGCTTTACGCAGGAAGGTGTGCTCCAATGCGTAGCCGGGGTATCCGAGGTACGACGTATCGTCCGGGGCAGATATCTGCGTCTCAGTCAGGAAAAAGAGGGCAGGCTGCGCCGTCTCAAGGTGGTGATGTACGGCGTCAAGGTTACTGTGTAGGCCCCTGACATTGCTGAAATCCACATTAAACGTGGAATGGGGATCCGCCGAAAAAACTCTTTTTCTTTTGTCGACTTTCATGATAATTTTAGTTGGAGAGTAAGGATTTGGAGAGGTAGGATGCTAGAGGTGAGATCAAGGCAATACCTGAATAAAGCGCAGGGCACAATGAACACTCGATCCGGGGTTGCGCGAGAAGCTGACGCAGGGCATGGAAGGGCCCCCAGTCCACCCTGCATACGATCGCCGGGATCCACTCCGGTCTCCGACTCCGGCACGACGACCGCATGACAGGATTTTACACCGGTTGGCGGGACAGCTTCCTGGGGCGGAGTTTAGTTGTGACACCCAGGTTCAGGTCCCCTACTGACCGGCGGGCGGCGGCAGGCACCGTTTCACTGGGTCTCCCTATACCCCCGTCAGCAACCCACGCCCCGCGGACTTGCGCGCACGTTTGCTCTGCATGTTCCAAGTATCACCAAGACTCACCCCCAACAAGGAGGAGGAAAGGAAAGGAATAGAACTGGCTCTCCAACCCACATGCCGGAACACAGCTAGGCTATTTGGCGGCAGACTCTAGTTGGAGGGTGGTCGCCAGCCAGTCGGACAAAGTCCTACCACCGATTGTGTTTTCGGCTCCCGTTTAGCACCACCCAGGGGTTACTTGTAGGGAATCGCGGGTTAAACCTACGGAAGCGGGAAGCATCAACCCCCAAAAGTACTTGTGGTAAAAACTTAACATAGAAACGTCAGTGCCT